AAGACAAGAGGGCTGGGTCTGAAGCTGTGCCAGGGGAGGTTTAGGTTGGATATCAGGAATAAATTCTTTCCAGAGAGGGTGCTCAGCCATTGGAATGGGCTGCCCAGGGATGGGGTGGAGTTTAAGCTGAGACTGGATGTGGCATCAGTGCCACGGGCTGGGAACCACGGTGGGGTTGGATCAAGGCTTGGACTGGATGATCTCAGAGGTCTTTTCCAACCTGGCTGATTCTCTGATTCCATGATTCCTGGAGCCAGAGGGACTCACCCAGTGCTTTGCAGAGCTCGGGGTGTTTGATCCCGATGGTTTTCAACCTCTGGAGCAGCTCTGCCGACGTCATCTGTCGCACCAGGTACAGCCCCACCGAGTAGCTCTGAGGAGAGAGGGGAGGCAGAGGGTGACCAGGGCTGCCCTTCCACCCTGCCTGTGGAATTCTGGGCGATTCCCTTGGCACCCACCTTGCCATAGTTGCCCCAGGTCACCGTGATGCGGTTGGTGGCCGCCGACAGGTACATGAGGTGCGTGAGGTTGATGGGACGACAGGGCCTTTTGGGTTCCACTCCAGGTTTGTTGGATGGGTAGTAGCCCTGAGGCAAAAGGATTAAATGTCTTTATTCACCTTTTACTCCTACATGGGGTCAGCTCCACTGAATTCCACTCAGTTCTCAAGGATGGGGGGGAAAACACGGAGCTGAACAGTCAGAGCACGAAGCAGAATTGAAGTTTTTTACAGAATTTCATTAACAACGAGGCTAAACCACCAGAAAATTAGCTTTAAACTGAGCAGGGGCATTTTTATAACTCTTGGCATTCATGGGGAAATCAATTCCCTCCCGAATCCCACAAATCCTTCCCGGATCCCCCAAATCCTTACCGGCACGGAGCAGTAACTGTGGTTCACCTTCACGGCGATGTTGGGAGGGTACTGATCCTCCTGAGGAGAGCTGGTGTCTGTGTAGCAGATTCTGGAAAGGAAATGGTACAATTCTGACCATCTCCATTGCCCCAAAAGGCCCTGCACATCCCCATCCCAAAATCCCACAGCAGAGCCAATCCAATGGCAGTTGGGAGGGCACATGGGACACTTGTCCAGCCCCAACTCCAGCAGCACAGGCAGGAGGAGGTCAAAAAGCAGAGTTTAAGATGCTTGAGACAGTTCTTTGTGCTCTTTACAGCTCCCTGTGAATTATCTTTGGAGCCACAAAATCCACATGGAAAACTGGCTGCCTTTTGCTGGAATGTTCCCTCCCTCCCCCGGTGTGAAGGTGCCCCTCTGGAATCCTTCCTGCATCCAGAGGATCTTCCAGTCTCTCCTGGGTTTTCAGAGTTTTGGAAATCAACCCCCATGCCCAGACCTACCTTAGCACCACCTGAACTGATTTCACCCCGGGTTGCAACTCCCTGGTAAAATTAAAGAAAGGGAAAATTCAGATTAATTATGTGAAAAAAAAACCCCAAAAAACCCCAAAAAACCCCCCCAAACAAACACCCATCCAACCCAGCTGTCAATTTTACCAGACTCAAGAGCTTCACTCCCTCTTAATTTTTTAACATTCCTTTAAAAAAAATAACTTCATGGACCTTTATTTAAATTGTACAATTCCCCCTGCAAATATCAGTGGTTCTGTAATTATTACAATTATTCTTTTTTTTTTTTTTTTGCTTAATGCACCAACCCACAGCTTTTAAAACCCTTCAGGTGAAAAGTCTCCATTTCCCTTCTGCTGATTCGTGTGAGAATTTATAAAAAAAACTAGGTTTTAAGGTCAGCTTTACCTGCCAGTGTTCAAGACTGCCTGTGTTTTAATTATTCAGCTAAAGCTGCTCATGCAAAACCAAGGGATTGAGTGTTATGGCACCTCTGAGAATATTGCAACCTTCAGCAGGGCCATTCCTGACAGGATTTGAAGAGGAATCAGGAAAGTCATGGATATACAGAACAAAGGGATTTTATTAGGGGGCAAAAAGGGGTGTAAAACATCCTCTAATTCCTGCACAAGGCTCGAGGTTTTAGGGAAAAATCCCTAAATTAGTCTTGATTTGCCCCTGAGAGTATTTCACGTTCCAATTTGGTGTTTTAGGATAAATTTGGGGAATGGAAGGGATGAAACCTGGACAGACAGAGGCTGATGGGGCAGTTTTAGGTGTGGGGACATCACACCTAAAGCTGGACCCACGTGAGCATTTCAGACCCCCAGAAATATAGGAGTTGTTCCTCAACAGGACAGTTTTCCCCCAAAAATCTGAATATGGGGAGAAAAAAGCATCAAGAACCAGCAGTTTTTTATCCCCCCCGAAAGAAAGAATCCCATGGTCTATTATTCCCTTCCTGTGAAGTTTTCCAACAGCTTCCCCCTTCTGTTAACCCACAATAATCAGGATATTGGAGAAATTCTGACTCTGGAACATAAATATCTGTGAAATATGTTTCTCTTTAGCATAAAGAGAAATCTTGGGAAGGTTTTATGCCTCATTTTGGGGGGAATTCTTCTGCATCAAGGCCCAAGGGAGCAGGTCAGCCAAGAGGAAACCTCCCTGTCACCTCTGAGGAGCCTCACTGTTGGAATCCAAAGTTGCATGGGGACAGAGGTCAGGGAAAATCCTAATCCAAGCTGGTTTTCCTTTTTCCAAGCAGTTCCCATTCCATCCTTCCCAACTGAGGAAGCTTCTTTTCACATGCAAAACAAAGCTTTAAAGTCTGGCTTTTTCCCCCTTTGGAAAGGGGAAAAAACCTGGCAGATATTTGATATTCCCAGCACAAGTTCGGGGTCATCCAGGATTTATTCCCGTTTTTCCTGCCCTGTGGAAAAGGGAGATTGGAGGAGTAAAAATCCAATTTAAAGGCTTGGAGGGGTAAATCTATGCTTTCCATGGCCTCCAACAAATCCTGGCAGAGAACAAAAGCTTCCAACAGGAGGGAAGGTTGAGGAATTACAGGAATTATTGGTTGTGTTTCCTTGGAATCTTGACACCCAAGGGGAAAATACCTGGAATTTCGGATCAGCTCCACTTGTCTTGGGGTTAATGCAAAAATACATGGACTTTCCTGAAGCTTCTCGTTGTTCTGGGGGACTGGGGAGGAGAAAAAAAGCAGATTAAACATCGACCTGGAAGGAGCAGCTGGAAGCACAAGGGGATTTTTGGAGGTTCTCTGGAATCCCAAGCCTTGTTTTCTCTCACAGAACTCCCAGTTTTTGGTAATTCTGATTTCTTGCTCTCCTGGTTGGTTTTAACAGCACAGGATTTAGG